CTTCTTCCTAGCCGGGAACCCACGAGGCGGGCCCCAAAGACAAAAAGGACAACAACAACAGGAAGAATCTGACCGGAGCAACATCTTCAGCGCGCTTGACGACCAACTCCTGGCCGAGATTTTCAACATCGACACTCAAACAGCACGGAGCTTGAAGGGCAAAAACGACCAAAGAGGCCAAATTGTGCGAGCCGAGAGGTTCAATGTCGTCCTTCCTCACGAAGGACGAGAGGAGGAGGAGCGCATGCGCGAGGAGGGAAACGGGCTCGAGGAGACTTTGTGCACCAAAAAATTGATCACGAACATAGACTCGCCCACACGTGCTGACGTGTACAACCCGCGTGGCGGACGCATCACCACCCTCAACAGCCAGAAGCTCCCCATCCTCCGTTGGCTCCGCCTCAGCGCCGAAAAGGGCATCCTCTATCGAGTAAACTAAATAAATATTATCTCATCAAATTAATAATTATCTCAACTACATTGAACTGATTCTGACAAATTCGCGCAGAACGCTGTGGTGGCGCCACACTGGAACGTGAACGCCCACTCGATAATCTACATCACGAGAGGCAGAGGGAGGTTCCAGGTGGTGGGGCAGGCAGGGAAGTCGGTGTTCGACGGTGAGGTGAGGCAAGGGCAGATGATAATCGTGCCGCAGAACTATGTGGTGGTGAAGAAGGCGAGTGAGGAAGAGGGGCTCGAGTGGATTGCGTTCAAGACTAATGACAACGCGGTCACTAGCCAGCTAGCGGGGAGGCTTTCGGCTGTGCGGGGGATGCCGGAGGAGGTGCTGATGAATGCCTACCGCATCTCGAGGCAGGACGCGCAGAGGGTCAAGTATGGGCGGGAGGAGTCCAGGGTTTTTAGCGGTCGTAGCAGCAGCAGGCCAAGGGCGTTCGAGGTGGCCATGGACGTTATCAAGTCAGTTATGTGAAGTGAAGGAAAAATGATGTTTGTTTGGAAATAAATGAAAGGGGGGCTTCGGGGGGGTCCCAGTGTGTATGTGTGTGATGTCAACTAGGTGTTTGCGCGGATGTAATTAATGTTGTGTGGCTTCTCTATTTTGAGTTATTAATAAAATGTCTCAATGTACGACTTATCATCACCTTGTAACTAGATTGAAAAATTCGAATTTCTCATGCTATTTTTATTCGTTTTATTAGTAATAATGAATTATATTTGTCATAAAAAATTAAGTTTAAAGACTAGGAAGCATATACAAATTTTCATATTTACTTTTTAAAGACTAAGAATCATATACCATCCTTTTATACTTAATTTTTAAATATTATTAATTTTATGAAATTTTTTTAATGATAAATTTAAATGTTTGCTGATATTATTTTCATCTTCCACAATTTAGTATTTTATGTCATTTCAAATTTAAATTTTAACCAAAATGGTTTAGAGAAATCTTCCACAATTTACGTGATTTCAAATTTGAATTTTAACCAAAATGATTTAACGCTCAAGTAAGTGAACAATGATGAAGAAGATGATGTTCGTATATAGTTATATGTATATCAAAATGTGTAGAGTGTAAGTGATCATACATCAGTCAATTATATATGAGTGTTAGCTGCCCAAAACTGGTCGAGACTGCCCGAGTGCCCAAGCTAACTATTCGTACAGCCCAAGTTATATATATTCCTTCTCATCTATTTTGTAATTTGCTTGCATTAGAATACCTCATCAGGCGTATTAATTGTGCTACCAACTCGGATTCCCACGAACCATATTGCCCCGACCTTCTGTGTATAAGCCTACCTCTTGAGTCACACATCTACCTGACACATCTACCTGCTGACCTACAGGTTGAGTTTTCATCACTACAAGAATAATCATTTTTAGAGGCAAAAATTTTTGTCGCTATATGTTCAAATGCCGTCATAAAAAATACTGTCGCTATATGTTTGAATGTCGTCACAATAATCATTTAATAGTCATGCCATTAATGTCATCACTAAAATTAGTGTCACTAATAATGATTATTCTTGTAGTGCATCAAACTAGCCCAAAGCCCTAACTCGACATGTTGACAAGTTCTTTTATCTGCGAGGTCACCATCTACTTGGTGATTCATCGAGCTCCAGAGTTCTTGGTGTCTGGCCAGCCTGCCAGTTCACCTGATCCGGTTGAACCCCTGTTTAGGTCGTACACGACCTAGTATGGTATCCCATTAGGTAACTCAAGCTCATACATATAGGGTCGACCTGCCTATTTAATTTCCTCTTCTCCTAAACAATACTATCTGTACGACTTAAGTACTAGGTCTTAGATTAAAAATTAAAAAATCTCCCTTCCTCAAAGAAAGGAGAAGAAGCTATCGACCAGTGTCTTCTAGAAAGAGTATAAAAAAAATAACAAAATCAAAATTCAAATTCCTCACAAGTGAATCTGACATCCCCTCATATCAGGGTAACGTCCGCCCGACGTAATCGCCTCTTTCAACTCAGCGCCTAGGTTCATCTGTTTGAAATAGTCATAAAACATCATATCCACCGAGCTCCCCGTGTCCATCAATATACACTGAACCTCATATCCAGCGACTTCTACAAGATCACCAGCGCATCTCTATGGGGGTACGTGGATCCCCATGACATCTCTAGACCTGAAACTAATCACGGGCCCTTGGCTGCAAGCACAACCTCTTCTTTCTTTATTTTTGCCACTCGGGCGTGCTGCTTCCTACATTTTTGGAGTCCCCGTCGGTAGGTCCTCCAGAAATCATATAGATCACTCTTATCTTGGGAGGTGCATCGTCCTCGACCTCGACCTCATGCTCCCTTTGATCGTTAATTTCCTCATCTTCCATTCACCAAGTTAGCATATTCCGCCAAATTTAAAAATTTCGGTAAGGCCCACATACGCTGGACTATGTTCTAGGACCCAAAATAAGATTAATCACGATAAAAATTAACGATTTTAAATCATGTACAACATATATATGAACTTCATTTTTATTTTGTCTTTCAGAGATTAACGATAACAAATCAATATATGTTTCCTAATATTGTAAAACATTTGTTTTGTCTTAGATATTCACGATAACAAATAAATATATGTTTCTTATATTGTCACACATGTGATGAACTTGGTTTTTATTGTCTTAGAGATTCGTTGTAGCTGATATAACATATAGAATAGCTCGGATGAACCTTCCATAGTTAGCTAGGTTTAGTCGTCCCTCATGTTGCTCGGGTGACTTGATCTTGGTAGCTCGGACATGATGATGACTTCTTAGTAGCTCGGTCATGATGATGACCTATTGGTAACTCGGGTATGGTGATGAACTAAGGACAAGTAGGTAGGTGGTGATATAACATATAAGAACAACTCGGTAAAACTGGACAAGACTAGCTCAACCTATTGACCGTAGTTGGCTAAGACGATGGGTTTAGAAGAAACTCATCCATATAAGTAGCTCGGACCTCGAGAAGCTCATGTGATAGCCTTAGTGTAGCAGAGCTTGGTGCCTGAGTAGTTAGACTGTGGGTGGGACTTGGAAATGTTAGGAGCTCATCACAATAGTAGCTCGATGTAATAGTAGCTAGGTTGTGGCATGCTTGGGAGTGTTTGGAGCTCAACACAGTATGAGCAACACAGTATGAGCACGACGCAGTAGGAGCTCGACACGGTAGGAGCTCGGCACAGTAGTGGCTCGTCGTAATGGTAGCTAGGCTGTCGGTAGGACTCAGAAATAGCAGGAGCTTGAAGTGGCTCGGTATAGTGCAGCAAAAGAGGTCCTATAAAGAAAAGTCAACCTATGATGATGCTTTACGACCTAGGAGCCGACCTGTGGAGGCGGTTAGGGAGAATGGTCCGCGAGGGACACGTGTAGAGCCAAGATAAAAAAAGGAATAAATTATCCAACGGAGGAAGAACAAAGGAAGCTAATAACTCCATATAAATAGGCCTTCCATAGCCCTTTACTGACTTGATCGTCGGAGGTTTAACGATGGGAGCACTTCCCGGCAGGTTTCCGGGAAGGAAGCGATCAGTGAAAAGTCGGTTCAACGTGCAAGAGCACATCAGCAGCGGCATGTCAAAATTATTTTGTGACTGCATGTTGAACTTGGTTTTTACTAATTTGTCATAATATATGGCCACCATTCTATTCTTAAATAATGGAGCTTGATGCTAATATATGTAGAAAACATTAAAGTCTGCATTGCCAAGAGTTACACAAGGAATATCATCACATCCTTATTATTATCATTATTACAACGGAAGTAGAGAAGTAACAAAAAAAAAAAAACATAAAAAATCCCGCATACAGACTGGAGACACCTCCCTCTATCATCAAAACACAACTTCACACCAGACTCAACCCCTCCACATCCATACCGAGAGACCTTAACCTTATTCAATATCTAGGCTGACCTTGATTCGCTGGGGCTGAGCAGGGTGGCTTCCTCCCGGCTGTTGTTGAGGCTCCTGGCGTCCTCCCTGGATATGCTGCTGTACGCGTTCATGAGTACCTCCTCCGGCATGGCTTGGATGGCCGACAGCCGGCCTGCGAGCTGCCCAATCATGGCTTTGTGATTGGTCCGGAAGGCGATCCACTCGAACCCATTCTCCCCTGCCTTCTTCACAGTCGCAAAGTTCTGTGGGACCACCAGTAGCTGCCCCTCTTGGATCTCCTCATCGTACACCATGTTCCCATTATTGCCCACCACCTGGATCCTTGCGCTCCCCCGGATAACATAAGTTATCGTGTGGGGCCATCATCGCATTCTATGTTCCCAACAAAGACAACCTGAATTTACGCACAATTTCAAACTTGCAAGCAAACAAGTATAAATACCCTACCTTGTAGAGGACTCCTCGGTCAGCGCTGAGCCGGAGGTAGTTCAGGATTGGAAGCTTATGCCCGTTGAGCCTGGTTACCCGACCCGCACGCGGGTTGTACACGTCGGCCTTGCTTGGGTTGTCAATGTTCTCTCTGATTTTCAGCCCATTCGCGTACCCACCCTCACGCTCCTTCTCGTGGCTGCCCCACTCCGGAAGGACCAACCCAAGACTCTCGGTTCGGATTATGGCCCCCATGTTGTTTTCCTTCCCCTGCAGCCACCTTATGATGTCTGGATCAACGTTGAGCGCCTCCGCCAGGAACTCCTGCTCGAACCCGGCAAATATGTTGCTCTGTTGTTGCTCGTCCTCTCCTTCCTGTTCGCCCCGCTTGCTTTGTTGGCCGCTGTAGGGCTCCTCTTCTTGATGCCGCCCTTGGCAACGGGTCGCCTGCGGGTTCCCGGCCAGGAAAAATTTCTGCCCCAAATAAGAAAATGTATCTTGTCAACGGTCAGTTTTGAATTACAAGTATTGTGATGGACTTAGGGGTTTGAGTTGTATTGAAATTCTTGAAAAGCATCGGATTTAATCCTCAACTCACCTAAAAAAATTGGTTTCTGTTCATATAGTTCAAGTGCAGGTAAGGTGTTCGATAAAAGGCCTGTTTTTTTTCAAATGGAGGCCAAGTGATGCTAAATTCAAATATTTCCCTGACCCTGAATTCCAAGTCGAGCTGGTTGGCTTCACTGGCGACGTCGAGAATAGATACGCTGATGATGGGTGTGTCGCCATCATTGTAAGCCCAATTAGTGATTCCGGGCTGCAATGCGAGGATGTCCCCTTGCCGGAATCGCCTCAGCTTCTGGTGGCGGTCCTTCACCCTCCTTCCTTGCCTTCCCTCTCCTTGTCCTTGCTCTCTTTCCGATTCTGAAGCAGAGTAGCTGCTCGAACCTGACTTGTAAGTCTCTGTGCACCCGGGAATTACGGTCCCCTGAATTCCACTCCCTAATAACAGCCCCATAAAGTGAATCAAATCAACAAGAGTTTGGAACTTTACCGCAAAACATTGATGAACACAATATGATATTGTAAAGTTTCATTTACAAATGTAACTACTCCCTTTATATGTCATTTTTTCCAAAGTTAATGTGTCATTTGTACGACACCAAAGAAAATTATTTTTCTATATTTTTTTCTTAACGGTACTCGTTGCAGTGATGTTGCATGTGTAGTTTACAAGACGGTAAAAGAGTCCTGTGGTGAAATAAAGAGAAAAGCAAGCACATGGAAGTAGAGAGGAACTGAAATAATAAAATAACATAAAGAAGGTGACCTTTGATGATATAAACAAGCTGAGCGACATTAGTGTAGTAAGGCAGAAGGAGGCCCTTTGGCTGGATTGTGTGGCGGACAAACTGAATTCCGGCGCACGCAAACTCTTTGCCATTGGCATCCCAGACTCGGTTGAGCCAACCTCGTATTCATGCTTATGGGTTGGCTCGCGGGCCTGGAGCTGTTGGATGTGGCATGGGGTCTTGGCCCGGAGCCGGTGCTGCTGCTGGTTGCGGAGGCTCTGGAAGAGCTGCTCCTGATGGGTTTCCAACTGGGCCATTGAGCCCAGGAGCGAGGAGAGAGAGAGGATCAGGAGAGATAAGGCCATAGCTTTATTAGCCATGACGGAATACTATTAATTAATTATTCAAGATTCTATTTTGGGTGTGAAGTGGAGAAAGGAAAGTGAAGGGGGTATATACAAGTGGAGAATGGTGCATTGGGTTTGACATGTATGGATGAGTTTGGTAAGAGTTGTAACACTTGGCTTGCGTGTTTCTTGCATGCGTTTTTGTTTGAAGGTATGAGTAATCGTGGTTTTTTTGGCTATGTGGCGATGAGATGCCGAGTGCAATACAATTGTCCGACTCCCTATCTGCATGTGCTCGTAGTGGATTGTTTGTGGCCGTATTTTGTCGGGATTGTTGATTTTGGGATTCGACCTTGTGGTTGGGTTGGGTTGGGTCGGTTAGCTGGGCCAATTTAGAATTTCGAATGACTAAAGACAGCGATAATGATATGCTAGTCGATGTGTCCAATGATAACATTCTTGTAGAACGTAATTCGATATTTCTGATGTGGCTTTTGGAGGGAAACTATTTTAGCAAGAAATAAAAGATGTAGCTGAAATTTCAATCATAGGGAGCTAGCTAGATTTAAATTTAATTAAGTATTATGATATAGAAAAAATATACGTAATTATTGGGTTCCAAGTGCCAGGTTAAATAATAGTGAACTCCACTGTCTTATAAGCCAATATTCAATCTTGGAACCAGGTTAAATAATAGTCAACTCCACTGTCTTATAAGCCAATATTCAATCTTAGTTATGTGTACGTACATGCACATGCTCAATTAAGATAAGGCTGCATTGGTTAATTTGAATTTCAAAAGAAGACTCAACTAAAGTTTCAATCTTCCAGCCTTCAGCAGTTGAATTTTTTTCGTTCAGATTTATTATCTTCTGTACTCCTACTAGTGGTATATACAATTGAATTTAAGATATATAGGAAACGATTGTAACGCAAATTTTATGAAAATATAAATATTTTGTACAATTTGATTTTATTTTGATTAAACGATTTTGTGGGTACAATCTCTATATGAAACCCTCTAATTCTTTTCTCCTTGAACTTGAATTTGGACTTGAATAACATTGACTCGAGAGTTTGAAATTTTTTTCTAGAATCAAACGCTATATTGGTTGAACTTCTCAATGAACGCAGTTGAATGTTGTTTGGACGCCGTTGATATTTTTGGATTGATTTGCAAGGAGTCAATGTCGCCTCTTGGAGAGGAATCACCATCTCTATTTCTTCTTAGTATTCTTCTCCATTGAACATAATTCGGAGGCTACGCTATATTGATTGAACTTCTCGCGACTTGAATTTTGTTTTTATCTCATTAAGCAGTCTTTTTAATAACCAATTGGTTTAAAGGAATAACAAATCCTTTAAAACTACATGAATAATAATAATAATAATAATAATAATAATAATAATAATAATAATAATTTTTAATCAACTAATTAGTTTGGATCTCTTCTGTAAGTACATTATTTATTATATTTTATTTCATATCCCCTCTATGTATAATTTTAAAATGCGCTGAGTTTACGTGGCAAGCTCTCATGCTTCGGAATCCTATTTGGCAAAAAATCATGCTTTAGAGTTAGGTTTGGATATAAATTAATATTTGTGTTAATCTAATATTAATATCATTTCCTATTATAACCATTGAATTGCACATATATTTTAAAAGTTGATAACTTTTGTATTTCTTATCGGTTTTACATATATAATATATCAAATTAATCATCTGTTGATGAGCTTCGATTTGACATACATATTGTATATATAAAATAAATAAATTATATTTATCTTTATAATAATAATAAAATTATTTATTAAAAGTAATTAGAAAATAAAATTATTTATCAACACGGGTTGACATTTTCATTTAATGTACGGATATTTAATTATTATGATTAAAAAATATAATTTAAAAATTTAATTAAAACTCAAAGTATTGTTTTATATAAAATTAAATTATTTTAGTTTTTAAAAAAATAAAAAATTTAATATTTTTTACAAAAATTTTCTAATTCAACACCCGTGTAATACACAGGTATTGTACTAAAATATTTTAGGCTTGATTACTAGTTCGTAGTAAATTGTGGTATATGATTAAATTTATCATTTCACATAATTAGATGGTGTAAGGTAGTTAGAGTGAACAAATAAGCGCGCCAAATTCGCATCCTAATTCTCTTCTGCTGCCAACACGCAACACCCTCCTAATTTCGTGTTATTTTTTCTCTCTCTTCAACTTCCCCTCGCTCTCTCTCTCTGGTGCCTCTGATGATTTCCAAACTGTGCAAACACAATTTCATGTCATTTCCCCCACAAAAATATGTGCTCAGATTTCCGCTGTTGATTCACCGTGAATTTCATGTGGATCAGTACTGATTTCTCCTTTCTAATCGTCTCAGAATTTATCAGCCAATCAAAGAGCCAGGGAAAAAGGAAAATCATTTCGCTTTTTTGGGGGGTGGAAGGGGAAAATTTAGAGATCAAGTTTAGCATTGTGTTTTGAATTTCGTTAATGATTGGGCACGAAAGATCAGTGCAGTGGCATCATCTATGAAGACTATGCGGACGAAAAGTAGGTTTTTTGGGTGGATACCTGAGATTTGTTTCAGATGGAATGGCAGATCTTGCTAGTTATGGCAACCCTGATCGCGACATTGACCTGGTTAAACCCTGTTTTCATTTCTCTTCACTCTATTCAATTTCGAAAATATTGGATTAGTCATTGCCTAATTGTATTGTATGATTGTGTGTGTGTGTGTGTGTGCGTGACTCGCAAATCTCGTGTTGGATCAAAGAGGTGTCTGTATCATCTGTGTATCATTGATTGATGTTCTCAGCATTGTGTATTTCGCTTGGAATTTCACAAAAGTAATGGGAAAAAAGAAAAAGTGATTGTATGCTTTTGGCTAAAGGAACAAACTCTTATGGTGTTCGAAAAATCACAGCTTGGAGGTTCCTTTTTTGTTTGAGGTGATTGTTTGGCTGCTAGTATAAAAGTATTCTATTTGAGAAATCTCAAGGTGTTTTTGCCTGCTTGTAATTTTTGTATTCTTTTTTCATCTTCTACTTTTAGAGTGATTCAAATATATGAAAGTTTTTCAACTATTGGATTAAGAATAACAGAATTGTGACTAGTCTGAATCATTCTCTTCTTTTACACCAACACTCCATGTACAAATTTAAAGATAAAACCTGTCATCGGTCATTAGACTAGCTCAATGTAATGTTAATGTAATCGGATCATAACAAACGGGTTAGTTAGTTAAATTGTTTCTATTTTTTTTTTTTTCAAGATTATCACCAGAAACTTGATTCAGCATGTCTGGTACATATCGTGACATTTTCCAGCTAAATATTAATTGTTGTGACCTTTTGTGCTCATGGCATTTTTTTTCCTCTCTGAAGGCACTGATAGCTTTGAAGAAAGGAACACAATTAATCAAGTACAGCAGGAAAGGGAAGCCTAAATTTTGTACATTCAGACTTTCTCCTGTAAGAAAAATATTTTTTTTTAATTATTTTTTACCATTTACATTTAGAGAATGTTCATTTGTTCTTGAATTGCACGTTCATGCACCATCATGTGATCAACTTAAATTTTGAAATTAAGTGTGAGTTAAACTGAAAGATATCGTGTCTCATTTATTCAGGACGAAACAACACTAATTTGGTATTCTCATGGAGCAGAAAGGCATCTAACGTTATCTTCTGTTACACGGATTATTCCCGGACAGAGAACCGTGAGTTAGCAAAACTATTTCTTTCGAATATTTTTATGTTGTAGTCCTCGTAACTTGTAAAATCCAGTGCCTTAACCTGAAACTAATCAAGTATCAGCTCCAACATATAATTAAATGAAAAGTTGCTTTGTTTTGCTATTTCAGCCAGTTTTTAGAAGATTTTTGCGCCCAGAGAAGGATTACCTGTCATTTTCTCTGATCTATAATAACGGAGATCGATCTCTCGATTTGGTCAGTTTCTTTTTTCTGTTAGGTCCTTTTACTTGATATTTAGAATTGACATGATTCTTTTAGTAACAAGTTTTAGTTTGTGAATTACTTCATTTTTTACTTTTAATAGATCTGCAAGGACAAAGTTGAATCTGAGGTGTGGCTTGCTGGCCTGAAGGCTTTAACATCGACCGGCCAAGTACGTAATAGGCGTACCAGAAGTGAAATTTATGATGTAAGTTTCCTTCCATCTTACGGATTCTTTGTCATGCTGTCACTTTCCTGGTCCCGGATAGGCATGTATGTGCAAACTTTGTCTTCCCCTACATGCATTTAAAGACCGCTTACGAGGTCATGATGTTATTGTTTCGCATCCTCACCATTCCCAAAATGTTCGATTCAGTTTTAGATTCTAGATTTTTTTTTTCTTAAAGTATCTTTAAATTCCTGATATCCGGTAACTAGTTGATTTGCTTTAGACTCTTCTGGTAGAATTTCTAAGAAACACAACGGTTTTATCAAGATTTTCCACAAATTTTCTGTCATAGGCATTATATGGAAGCATGCAGGATACAGAGAAGTGCTTCATCATTTTTTTTATTTTTTTTTTCTGTGTTCTATATCTTATTCATTTTGTGAAAGCATGAAGAATATTTGGAAATGCCCCACAGATTACAATAGGTGTTAGAAACAAATGTTCTTGGCCTGTGGACAATTTTAAATTAGAATCTGTCCCGTTGATGTGTTCCATCAGTTACACGGCACGGGCGACACCACCCCGCCAGAACCCCGGCCTTTCGCAGCAACACTAGAGTTCACGTCCAGCATCCCGCGTGGCAGGTTCAGCACCGACTCCAACTCTTTCGCCGCTTCAAGCTCACATGCAGCCTCGGGGCCCACGTCCCCAAACATGCAGCTCAGAACAAGTGGTGCCGATGGCTTCCGCATCAGCGTTTCGAGCACGCCCAGCTGCTCGAGCCAGGGCTCCGGCCCCGACGACATAGAGTCCCTCGGCGACGTCTACCTCTGGGGCGAGATCTGGTCCGACGCCGTCCCCGCCAAGGCCGACGTCCTCACCCCCCGCTCCCTCGAGACCAACATCGTCCTCGACGTCCACCAGATCGCCTGCGGTGTCCGCCACATCGCCCTCGTCACTCGCCAAGGTGAGGTCTTCACTTGGGGCGAAGAGTCGGGCGGGCGCTTGGGCCATGGAGTCGAGCGCGACTTCACCCGACCCCGCCTCGTCGACTCCCTGGCCGTCACCAACGTCGAGTCCGTCTCATGCGGTGAGTTCCACACCTGCGCGCTCTCCTCGTCCGGCGACCTCTACACGTGGGGCGACGGGACCCACAACGTCGGCCTCCTCGGCCATGGCAACGACGTCAGTCACTGGATCCCAAAGCGCGTCTCCGGAGCCCTCGAGGGCCTCCAGGTCCTCTCGGTGGCGTGCGGCACCTGGCACTCGGCCCTCGCCACCTCGTCCGGGAAGCTCTTCACGTTCGGGGACGGGATGTTCGGCGCCCTCGGCCACGGGGACCGCGAGAGCGTCACCTACCCCAAGGAGGTCCACTCTCTGAGCGGCCTCAAGACGGTGGCCGTCTCATGCGGCGTCTGGCACACGGCCGCCATCATCGAGGTGTCTGGCGCGGCGGGCCCCAGCGCGGTGGCCGCCTCGCGGAAGCTCTTCACGTGGGGGGACGGGGACAAGTACCGGCTCGGGCACGGGAGCAAGGAGACGTACCTCCTCCCGACGTGCGTGTCGGGCCTCATCGACTACAACATCCAGCAGATCTCGTGCGGCGCCAACATGACGGTCGCGCTCACAAACTCGGGCCACGTCTTCACGATGGGCAGCAACGCCCACGGCCAGCTCGGGAACCCGCAGGCGGAGGGGAAGTCGCCCGTCCTCGTCCAGGACCGGCTCGTGGGGGAGTTTGTCGAGCAGATCTCGTGCGGGTCCCACCACGTGGCCGTCCTGACGCTGCGTAGCGAGGTCTTCACGTGGGGCCGAGGGGCCAACGGGCGGCTGGGCCACGGGGACGCGGAGGACCGGGGCTCCCCCACGCCGGTCGAGGCCCTCAAGGACCGGCACGTGCGCAACATTGCGTGCGGGTCGAACTACACGGCATGCATATGCATCCACAAGTGGGTGTCGGGGGCCGACCAGTCTGTCTGCACCGCGTGCAGGCAGGCTTTCGGGTTCACGAGGAAGAGGCACAACTGCTACAACTGCGGGCTCGTCCACTGCCACGCGTGCAGCTCGAAGAAGGCGATGAAGGCGGCACTTGCCCCGATGCCGGGTAAGCCGCACAGGGTTTGCGATGCTTGCTACCTGAAGCTGAAGAAGGCGGCCGAAGCTGGGAGCCAGCTGGCCATAAACAGGAGGCAGTCGGTCCACCGCGGCTCGGTGGATTTCAGCAATCGGCACGAACGGCCCGAAGTGAGGGGCTCGCGGGTGCTGCTGTCACCTACGGTGGAGCCAGTTAAGTATCTTGAGATCAAGTCAGGGGTGGCAGGGGGCAGGTCAGATGACTACTCTATTGTCCGGGCCTCGCAAGTGCCATCCTTGTTGCAGCTGAAGGACATTGCTTTCCCGAGTTCACTTAGCGCACTGCAGTATGCTCTGAAGCCCGTGATCACGTCTGGTCCACAACAGTTGCAGCAGCCCACGACAGCGTACCAGTCGAGCTCAAGGCCCGCGTCACCCTACTCGAGGAAGCCTAGCCCACCACGCTCGGCGGCCCCTGTTTTCTCGAGGGGCGTTGTGGNTGGTTTCATTTCTGGATTGCTTTCTAAAACTTGAGCGTCTTTGGGTTGTTTGTTATTTAGATCAAGAATTTGAAACAAAAGAGTGAAGCTCAAGATGTGGAAATTCACAAGTTGAAGGAAACTGCTGACGCAGCAAACGAGTTGGCTGCAGATAGATCTTCCGTGTGCGTTAGAGCTATGCGAGCTGTCAAGACCATCAAGGATCAAGTATTTTAACTATTGCCGTTTTTATTTATTTTATTTTATATGATGGGCATTTGTCACTTTCAAATTTTTAAACACCAGTAAATAGTAATCTTAAACTGGATGCTAGCAAAGAAAATGTAGCAGTATCTCCAGCTTTTAGCTGTTAAATTGTGCTCAGTTACCTTTCAAAACTACAAGTTAACCCGCACCAGTTGTTTCTATGTTGCAATTACATCTGTTTTGAGTATCTTGATTAACAAAACTTGCCTGGTCCTTCTCTCTGCTTTTACCAGTTGAAGGAAATTACGGACAAAATACCTCCCGAGATATCAGAGAGTGAGTCTTTCAAGAACATGCAAGCCCAAGTCGAGTCACTTCTCGACAAAATCGAGCCCCAAGCACTTGATGATAATCCCACTTTGCCTCCAGAACCATTACCTGACCAACAGCATAACCATTCGTCAGCGTGTGAAGCAAATCACAGAGAAGATCACAGAACAGAAGATAGTAATGCCAATGGGACTCAACAGGAAACAGGTGATGCATCCGTCTCTCAAACACAAGGTACAAGTCAATCAAGCACGGAAAATGGGTCAGGAACAGGACAAAGGGAAGTTATCGAGCAATTTGAGCCAGGTGTTTATGTGACGGTCATTCAACTGGCCAATGGCACCAAGCTCTTCAAGCGGGTTAGATTCAGGTATATAAGTGTAATCACACCATAAAAAAATCTCAGTAGCAGCTGAAATGTTTTTACTCACAATTGCTATTTACTGCAAATATTTTAAAGTTATTTCTTGCACGTACAGTAAGCGAAGGTTCGACGAGCATCAGGCAGAAGAATGGTGGAAAGAAAATAAGGACAGGCTACTGAGAAGGTACAGTCTAGCTAGACCAACTAAGGCATCATCTGCAGAATCAGCCGCAAATGAAGATAGCCAATCCACATAGGAAAACAGAGATAACGAATGAGACAAAAAGTTTTTCATAGGATGAATGTACATTTGATTCATTAGTCTGGATAGAGAGATAAAGCTTAGCGGGGTATTTATAGTTGAAAAGGCTGCCATATAGAATGTTGAATCTCGAAGCCATNTCTTAGAGGGCGACTTCTTTACGAGTGAAGAAAGGAAATTGAAAATAATGATATTGTAATCTTGATGTTTGTGGTGATATAAAGTTTCTTCAAATGGCCTGAAAGAAACTGCTATGCAAATGCACGTAGACAAATTACTACAGTGAACTTTGTAAATTATATGAGTAAATAAAATAAAATACAGTTTAGCATGTATTAGTTGAAAGTGAAATTATGTTATTTGTTCGACCTGTTTAGTTTACGGATTTCGTGCAAACCATTTTTTTACCCTCTGCATTCCTCGTAGAAAAAAAATGATAAACGCAAAATTCTTGAACTGTATCAATGTCATAAGTTAGAAAATTTGAACTCAATTATTCACCAATTTATACATTAATTAAAGTCCATAATTTTTTCATATCGTGAAAATATTATATCCATATTGTAATAGACGTATTCATAATCATAAGGGTTGGCTACGATATTCACAACAAATGTAGTTAACAAAGAGAAAATATTTATTATATTTCTATGGCGTATGATTTCTATATTAAATTAACATAAATCATTTAAGTAAACTAATTTCTTGCTTACCTAAATAAATTAATAACACATTAAGACCATAATTATGATATCAAATTAGCGTTTCTTTGAGCATCCACAATATTTGGGTTAAATCCCACAAAATTATATGCCACCTAAGAAATAAACTTAGTCTGAAAAAATAAATTCTTCAATACAAATAAAAGTAGACTAAGTCCTGCTGACGTGACAGTTAGAGCATCCATAATGTTTTGGGTTTAATCAAAAAAATTTATATGCCACCTAGATAATATACCCAGTTTAAATAAATATATTCTCCAATGCAATTGCAAGTAGATTGAGTCCTGCTGACGTGACAGCCAGAAAAAGAGTCCCAGCCTACACTTAAGTCTATTTTAGACCGAAGTGGAGACCTAGTCTCTTGCATTAGAGTGAATTTTATTAATTCTATATTATTTTATCAATGTCATCAAAGACTTGGGTTTATTTTACATGTCACATAGACAAAATTAGACTCAAAGCATTGCAGATGCTCTTAGAAAAAGAGACCCGGTCTACCCTTAAGTCTATTTTAGATCCAAGTAGAGACATAGTCTCTTTGCATTGGAGTGGATTTTGTTAATTTTACATAGTTTTATTCATGTCATCCAAGACTTGAGTTTATTTATATGACACATAGGCAAGACTAGACTCAATGCATTGTATATGATCGATGTGTTACGTTCATTAATGACACTTTGAAGTAATTCTTATTCAATTAATCGGCATAAGTTATTAATATCTAAAAAATACATAAATTATGTAAAAGAAGAAAAATGATTTGGTTATATTCTCGAGATATATTTTCTATAACAAAGTATTTCTATTACTGAAATTCATATTTAGTTTCAAATTCTCAATTTGGTCCGATTAAGTTAACACATGACATGGCGATATCAATGATGTAATCCATGTTGAGTCATATTTTGGACTATTTTTACAAATGACAGTTAAGTGGCAAATAATATTAACGTGCATAGGCAGCAACATCTCATAAATCCTCAAATTCTATACACTATCGTGGCCGAAAAAAAAGTAATGATAAAATTGCTCCAGCCATGGAGTTACCGGCACTACCATCCATCTTAGTTGAGTCATTCTGTCAAATTTTGTGAACAATAATGCATGCTAATACAACTGAATTTAATACTTAATATGTTATTTTTAAGGGATTTTTTTTTTTTAAATAGAAGTACATATATTTATATATATCTGCATATAAATATGTCAATCAAATAGTTAATGTCGAACTAATATTTATTGGATAATTTCTCACCTTATAGGGTCTAAAGTGCACTAAAAACCATGACATAGACTCAATCATGTGATAAATGCAGTTTGGTGAACGTTGCAACAAGAAAAAGATGTGTTAGCATTAATGTCACAAAAATAAATATATCTAGATTACTTATTCAAACTAACTATTGGGATCTACGAGGATCATCGTAATTGTGCAAGTTACAATTTAATATACGAATAAACCTATGCGCAACGGATCTAAAGTTTAATATAGTAAACTTACGTATTAAAATTTGCATATTCTGAAACGTTAGAGCATGCTTGGATACAAAATTTCTCAAAAAAATCCAAACATTTTTAACTCAACCATTTTTTTTAACTCAACTTTAACTCAACCCCACTATCATCAATATTATCAATATAATTAAATAATATCAATCAATCATTCTTACACACCACCTTACCTTAGTTCACTATTCATCCACTTATATAATTTTAACTAACCAGCACTTCAAATCTTCTCTCTCCTACTTTACATCAAATCAACTTTAATCATTTTATTTTAAATATTATTCTAATATACCCACTAACAACTAATCATACCAACTTTTCCAAAATTAATCAAACCAAACAAAAAAATCCAAACAAAACAAAAAAAATTTATATCCAATCATCCTCTATTTGATTTTCGTTGATGGAGATCGATTAATTCCGTTGACCTGAAGAGTTTTTTGTTTTGGTCATGTGTCTCTTGTAAGTATATGTGTAAGATGTTAGAATATGTTTTTAGATGACACACTATCAACATATTATAAGTATGTATTGTATGAATATTATGTAACAATTTACAACACACAAAGAATGAAGTGGATTCTTCCATGAATTTTACAATTGATGTTTGATTTGTATATTTTTTTTTGCAATGTGTACAAACAGTTTTGTTCATTCAACAAAGTTGAGTACTAAATAATATTGTATGAGTACTCCAAAAATGTCGAATTTGGTATTCTTCTTTTGCAAATAACAATATTAGTTTTTTAAATTATAATAAGTAGTTCTTTGTTGGTACTAAATAATATTGAATGAGTAGTAGTAAAGGCCCTTTATTTTGTTCTTATTATCTAATCTAATTATATATAATTAGAAAGTGAATATTAAAATGAAAAGGAGTTTAGGTATTTTATGGTAAAAGCCACTTATTTTGTTCTAATTATATGTAAATGTAACGTTCCATTCCAATCCATTAAGTGATAATTTAAACGGGTAAAATATACATGACCCCCCTGTATTATACGAAATCTGCACGTTTTCCCCTGGTATTTTAAAAATTGCGTCAGACCCCTTCTATTAAGGTTTTGCATGCGCGAAACACCCTAAACCGTCTAAGATGACGGAAGTGGCGTGCACGCGCCTCTTGTGCGGCTTTTTCTTCATTTTTTCACCTCAAAGTGGTAGAAATTACTGTTTTACCCCTGAATTATGTGCAAAACCTAAATGGTATGAAATGTGGGCAACAAGATTCGAACCTGGGCCAAAAGCTACATAACAAAGCTTCCAACCACTACACCACCATCAATTTGTGGAACATACCTAGCACCACTTTTATTTAGAACAACAACAAAGAGAAAAACTTAATCAAAACAAAAAATAAAATAATAAAAAAAGAAGTAACTATAAGAAAATATAATTAATATAAAATAAAATAAAAATTAAATTAGAATAAACCTATGTGTTAAATTTGAAAATAATAAATAAATAAATATATTACTAATTAATATAATAATAAACTAATAATTTTATTTAAAAGGAAAGCCCAATTCACTTCTGTCTGTTAACTGTTAAGACAATTGGCCCACAAAAATGAAAACGTTAAGTAATAAAGTAATACACATTAAGTCATTTTTATTTACGGGCACAACGCACAAACTACAGAATCCAAATTCCCAAATTCCCAATTCAGTTAACATTTTTTTTTAAGTGAAACAGCCAAACAGGCCAACAGGGAATAGTTTAGTTTGAAGTTTGATTTTTGAACATTTTTTCCCGTTTTGTCCCGGTCCCGAACCGTTTTGTCCCGGTCCCGATTGATACCGTTCTGTTTGGGACGAGGTGTCGTCCCGGACCGGTTCAAAAAACTGGGGGGTAAAATATACATAACCCCCCTGTATTATACGAAATCTGCACGTTTTCCCCTGTTATTTTAAAAATTGCGTCAGACCCCCTTGTATTTAACTAACTGTTGCACGATTCCCCCCCTCCGTCTAACTTGACGGCGCGTGCAGTACACATTGGTCTTATGCGATAATTATTCACTTTTTTCTTATTTTTTATTTTAAATTTACTATTTTGCCCCTTGTTTTTCATGCCATTATTGACAAAAAATGATTTGTTGCTCCTAGGATTCGAACTTGGGCCAAAAGCTGCATAGCAGAGCTTCCAACCATTGCGCCACCATCATTTTGTGGAACATACCTAGCACCACTTTTATTTAGAACAACAACACAGAGAAAAACTTAATCAAAACAAAAAATAAAATAATAAAAAAAGAAGTAACTATAAGGAAATATAATTAAGATAAAATAAAATAAAAATTAAATTAGAATAAAATATAATTTATTCCATTATTATATTTTTTATAATATAGAATATATTTACTCCATTATTATAAAATATATATACTGAATTATTATATTATTTATAATTTTTAATTATCATTATATTATTTATCTTATATGATCTATTTACTTAATTATTTATTACTTATAATTTAGATTATATTTACTTAATTTTTATATTATTTATAATTTTGAATCTATTTATTTAATTATTACAAAATCTACGTACTAAATTATTATATTATTTATAATGTAGAATCAATTTATTCACTCATTTATTATTTTTAATTTGATATATATTTAATGAATCGTTTTATTATTTATAATATAGAATAATATTTATGCAATCATTATATTATTTATAATTTAGAATATATTTATTTATTTCAATATTTTCGTCGAGCATTATATATATATGAAATCACATTTATACCTAAATGATTAGTAGTCTAGTTGGTGGGGAATTCACTTTTACAACCCAAAGGTCATGGGTTCAATCCCCACCATTGGTACTTTATTTTTAAGTCAACATATTTGACAATAATGGCATAATGGTAAATTCATTGATAATGTAAAGATGGAATGGTAAATTCGACAAAAAAGTAACGCCGTCAGCACTAAAATAACGGCGTTAACATCAAAGGGCGAGTATGCATGCAGATATTAGACACACACAAGAGGGTTTGACGCAATTTTTGAAATAACAGGAGAAAACGCGCAGATGTCAAATAATGGCATAATGGTAAATTCATTGATAATGTAAAGGTGGAATGGTAAATTCGACAAAAAAACCGTCAGCACTAAAATAACGGCGTTAACATCAAAGGGCGAGTATGCATGCAGATATTAAATACAAGAGGGTTTGACGCAATGGGCGAGTATGCATGCAGATATTAAATAATCAAAGGGCGAGTATGCATGCAGATATTAAATACAAGAGGGTTTGACGCAATGGGCGAGTATGCATGCAGATATTAAATACAAGAGGGTTTGACGCAATTTTTGAAATAACAGGAGAAAACGCGCAGATGAGGATTCGGTACAATAAACCCTAATTTAAACGGTCAAAAATAAGTAGTAACACAAAGCGCGTTCGGGAAGATGAGGACGTCATCGTCTCCAAAAAAAATCCTAGAAATTTTAACAAAATAAAGAAGACCGCTCAATCAGATTTTCTTCTTCGTGAAGTAAACCTGAATTTCCATTTGCTTTTGGCTTCCGAACCCACACAGTTTCAAATTGTGTTCGGAAATCGGAGCAGAGCAGATTTTCTCCACAATACCTATTATCTCCAATAATTTCTTTTAATTTCCCCAATTTTCCTCTGCAAATTTTGTTCCCTTTCCGTTCTGGAGGTATGGGGCAACAGCAGTCGAAGGATGAGTTGTTGTATCAGCAAGTGAGTTATGGAAATGTTGAAGGCATCAAAGCTCTCAGAAGAGAAGGTGCTGGTCTTGAGGTATGAATTTCTGTGTTTTGTGCAAAATTATAGTCAATGATTAAGGGTGTTTTGTGTCTGTGTGTGTGAAGATCTGCAATTTTTCTTTTTTTTTTTTTTGCAATCACT